AGGGAAGTCATTTTACATACTAATGAATGGCTAATAAACTTGAATTGAAATCTAAATATTGTCTACATTAAAAAAAAAGAAATATAATGATTTAGTCTTCAGATATTATGAAGAATTTTAGAGTTGTAGGTGAACCCCTTATATAATAGTGAACAGATCTATTATAGACTTGAATTATCCAGCCTCTACAAGTAAAGATGAGTCAAGACCAGTCAAACAGTGACATCTGATGGTTTCGGGGGTGTTGGTTTGACAGTGACTTATTACTCGACTGGCCTGATGCGGTTCATGCTGACTTCAGTCAAGGCTGAGCTTAGACTGATTCAGGACCTGTCGCTCGGGGATAAAAAAAGTGACTGGACGTACTGAACAACAACCCCCATAATTCCCTGTGGGACACAAACGACATAGCCATCAGTCACACCAATCAAATCTCCAAATAAACATCCATATGACCTGACCCCTGACCAATCAGAGCACAAGATAAATAAACTGCTGACCCGGCCATTTCAATTCACTCTCGGCAGACACAGACACTCGTTGAGTCATTAGGGAGGGAGAGAGCGTGGAAGAAAGAAAGAAAGAAAGTAGTGGTATTATAAGGGTGTTGATGGATGAGGGTGACTGTGTTATTGTCACCTACATCCAGTCCTTCCTTTCCTAACACATACAAGGAAATCACTTCTTACGTTGGCGTCTATGGGACACTCTGACGCACGATTCAAAGAATCATCATATACATCATGTAATTATCTCCTTCTCCATCTCACCTCCTCCTGTTTTCTCTCAGATGAAATCTCACACAAACAGACAAGAGGACAATTTCCCAGGACATAAGCAGACCTCTCGGCTAAGCCCAGTAGCTTCTGGCTAATCAATCAATCCTTTGAAAACATGTGATCAATCATGATCAAAACCCACAGTGGCCTGCAACTCTCTCCGTCTTACGCAGATGCACACACTCAATGCCTGGGAACGCCTTGTTTCACACTGACCCCATCACGGCTCACCGTTTTACTCCTGATTAACTCATCGGTCACATTGACTTTGTCTCTAAAAACAAAACTCTTCGGGTTTTAAACTCTCTGATCTTTTCAGAGTGGACATGCATGCAAGTTCGAGGCACAGGAATTCTCAGAGGGAAAGCATCACAATCCCAGGAACTCAACTAAAAACTTTGTAGGCTATATCATGCCAGGGGTGAGAGAGAGAAAAGTAAATATTTACTCAAGAGGTAAAAATTGAGACGTTAACATTGTAGACTTCCACAGTCTGAAAAGTGAAGACAATATAATCACTTTTTCTTGTGTTCTTCCGTCCCCAATGAGTCTGAAAAGTGTTTGGGGTAGACACGGCTTAAGTTTCAGACAACGAACGAGCGTTTAATACGGTTCGCGCTCACCTTTTTAAATAGCCCTATCCGTTCACCCAGACTGAATAGGCTCTATAATGAGCCAGGGGGCGTCGGACGCGGGACGCAACAGCACGGCCCATTGCACAATGCGGAATCTAACGCGCGCCCGTGTCTGTGAACAAGCGGACTGTGGTCGCGCGCTGACAGGCGGAGAGAATGCTCGCGCGCAGGGCTTATTCTCACGCGCTTCACTCACGCGGAATGTCACATTGTTAAATTTGGAGCTCGGTCCTTTTTTTCCTCTCTCTCTCTTCTCAGCGTCGAGTTGATTTTCCGTTGTTTGGACACTTTCACGGTGAAGTGAGTCACATCAAAGTCAAAACAAAAGTCGTGGCGTGAAACTGATGGAGCTGTCGAAGACGCTGAATGGACAAAGGGACAATCAAAAGTCTTGCTGAACATGTGCAGCTTATCAAATGCAGTTATCATCAAACTAGAAATCAGATCGTTAGTATACGGAAAATGCATTTGAATTTATCTTAAATTCGGTCATTTCACAGACACCTGAGACGATGAACGGTTGGTCTTAGAAACCTAAACACGACTGATGATATTACTAAAAGGTTTTTATCTTCACGATCTTAAATATCAACAGTTTTATTCTTCACAGAGCATGGAGTTGTTGATGTAAAGCTACTCATGCCTATATTATGAACTTGAATACAAATCATTCGTTAGCTACTATATTATGCATAGCCTATTTCTGATCTTTCCCCTCACAAAAAGCCTATTATTGTAAATAAGTAGCCATAGGCTCAACACATATAGAACTTTACTTTATAGATTGCAACCAATTATTTTATATTTTATAAATGTATTTACACTTAGGCTACATATTGCAAAATTTGCACTGAACCACATTCATTGCTGCATACAGCAGTCTCTAGGCCTTTATAATGGTTTTATACCTCAATTTTTGCACTTCTGGTTAGATGCTAGATATATCATTGCCTTGTACTCAGCACAAAAAAAGTATAAACAATGAACAAGGATATTATCCACAATGAGATAACACGATGTGTCTGACATACATTTAAAGTGTATGAATGCTGCTAGACAATTAAAAATGCAATTAAAAGTGTCAAGATCCGTCAGAAATGTCATGGGTAGGGTTTCAACTGACAGCACGGTCTGTTTTCTAGCAGGTCAAGGTTATTATTCTTGTTCGTGAAGTGTAATTTTACCCCATTCATAGAAAACCTGCAACACCATGCTGAGGGATATAGGACACTTGGCACGGCGTGTTAAAACATTATGGACATTTTAAGACTGTTGGCCTTGCAGGTGAAATGTCCGGCACCGCTGGCCAAATCCACAAAACATGTCGTGCACACACACCAGCTAAACGACCGATTTTTATTACCTTTCCAGCACTCACACACATCAGTGCGAGCGCGTGCAACCAGAATGATGTGCGGTGAGCGCGCGCGCACATAGGCCACACGGAGAGAAGATTACTTTTTTTCCTCTTCCCCCCTTCAAGGAAACCGAGTCCGCAGATAGTCAGACTAACGCTGAACGCGCTTTTACCGACAGACGGGCCCCGTTATGAGGAGTCTGGGAATTTAAATATTCAATGTTGACATAGTGCAGGACTGGCGCTAGGCCAGAGAGGCCATAGTCTCGCGGGACGCGCGCGGTCCAGAACATTCTCTCCCTTTCACTTAATAGGTAGAAATCTTCTTCTTACATCTTGGGTAAATAATAATCTTTAAATACATCCCCTGACAATTATCTCGATATTCTCAGATAGTAGCCTAAATAACGACGCTGGAGCTTCGAGAGGGTGGGAAAGTCTGCAAAAATATTGGAGGATATCTTACTCTCAACTTGAATTTTAACCAAACCTTGGGCCGGCGTATAACAGTATATAGGCTATATATCCTCTCTATAATAAAACTAAAATTTTAAAATATCACTATAGTAAATGTAGCTACGTGTTCAAAAGTAGGCCTACATAGATTGTATAGCTGGTTTGTTGATTTTCAGTAGCCATCAATAATTTGATAAGAGGACAAAATAGCCGTTTTCTACAGAAAAAGCATATAATAGTGGAGTTGTGATAGTCATGGTGATTTATTAAATGACGTCAATATCAATGACAGCCTATATAAATAGGCTATGAGGGGAAAAAAGGTAAGAGTTAGTTTTAAAACCTCTCTCGAATAATAATTCCTTACACTTGTGGCAATCTTAAAGAAAGCGATGAGTTAGGCTACCCTATACCTGCAGCAACGGGAAAATAAAATACAAAAGTGAAATTGCGTTGTTCTGGGCATGGATGCGTGTGGACGAGAGAGCGCGTGTGCACGTGAGCTTGTTTGACAAGTTGCTGTAGTGCGCAGAAAAAACCCTCTCACTGTACAATGGCAGGGCATAGGGCTCGAGAGGTAGTTTATTGGACGGATAAGACCCGCACGACCCCTGTTTCTGTCCAGACGGAGCGCGCGCAGTGTCTAGCCCATCACGGTGCTGTCGACAGGAAAGGAAACAATAATTCAACAGCAAAATGATCATTTACTTTGTTTTCACTGCCTCCTTTGTTAACTTCACACATACAGACAACATTAAAGTTGTTGACCAGCTGTCGCTATCTAACCTATTCTTTAAAAATAAATTAATTGAATCAAGTGCATTCAACTTTCAAAAACAAGACTTTTACCTCTGCTCCGACAGCAAAAGAGAAAAAAGAAAATTGGTCAAATCAGCAGTTAGCAGCCTACTGCGCGCGAGGGGGCCGAATTATTCACAGACCTGAGCGAAATACATTCGTTCCGAATAAATCCAATGAGGAGGGGAACAACGTCCCACTAACTACTTGATGTTCAGTTGCGGCGTTTGAGCTTGTGTTGTGGCGTGGCATTGAACGTCAACTCAAACAAGCGCCTAAGGCAACCCGTAATCAAAAGCTAAGATTACAGTCGACCGTTTAGAGAGCCATAACAAACAAAAACATTTCTCCGGGCTCTTCATACCGGAACAAAAAAATCATAACGGGATTTGATCACTTGTTGCACAACCAGTTTGAACGATATACACAGGGGGGGAAACAGGGTAGGATATTAATTCTACAAATCAAAATGCTTCAAAGCGCTTTTCTTTAGCATATATTTACATCTTTGTGTTGCGTGCATGCTGTAGCCTAACATCAGCTGAAAGCTACCTGTTTGCATTTAAAAGCGTGCCTCCGCAGCTGGCTTTCTGTTGTCGACAAGAATGCGAGGCTAAGCTTTCAAAGTCGCTGCTGGAAATTGATGTGACCGGAGCAGCAGAAGCTTGCACGGACGGTGCTGTTTTATCGAACACCGGGGCGCTCGGGGCTTGAATAGAGAGAGCGATTACAGCATGCGAAAGTTAAAAAGTTTGTGCGGCACGCGCAACTTCTATGCCAGTTCCGATTCTAGGTTTAAAATGTCCGAGCGCGCGCACGACGGTTCGCGTTTAGCTTATCTAACAAACTTACTAACAACTGAAGCCGTTGGGGTCTGTTGACTGTAACTGTTTAGTGGCTAAAATGTTTCCATGTATCATACACATGGACAAGATGGCAGTTTGAAAAGGGCTAAATAAGAGATGTTGCACCTACCAGTGGTCAGTTTCCTTGCCCTGCCTTTGGACCTCATGATGCCAGTCTTTCGGCGTGGGTTTGTCGGATTTTTTCTCGAATCTTTTCCCCTTTTCCTCTGTGATTCTCAATCCCAGACGCACTATCTCTCCAGCATTGTCAGTTTGGACACCTTCGCACATGCGCACACCCCCGAGCTGCCAGCATCGTCAAAAAGTTTGGAACGATTCATCACCCCGAGTATTACAGATCTTGTCAGATTGCAATAGCCAGCGAGATCCCTCTCGTGTCAGATCTTCAGAGATCAGTGGGCGCGGGACGGAGCGATTCGCGACCTCCGGGTGCACGAGGAACCGGAGACATTAATTATAATGAAGCAGTCTCGAGCGTCCAAGGCGCCCGGTCTTTTGTGTTTTAAATGAAGACGCATTAATCACTGTTCGGGTAAATGACTATTGTAAAACGTTTTCATTAAACGTTTTATGTTGTTTAATTGAGATTTGACCATCGTTGTGAATTTATGATAAACTTTTACTTCTCGCCCCCTCCCTCAGCCATACAGGCGCGTGGGCAGTCGGTACCGAGGGCTGCCCGTTGAATAGTTTTTTTTTTTTTCTTGCATGCGGCACTGACAATTATTAATCTGTGAAGTTGGCCTTGCTCTTCATGATTTCCAATCGTTTATCGACCAACTATATTCATACGGGACCTATTAGGGGTGTGCGATATGACGATTTTTAATCGTGGACGATTAAAATGTCTCCACGATCTGCTTTTGAAGAAATATCGTAGTATCGTGTTACAGTGCATTCTATCAGTTCAGTTCTGGCGCCTCCGTCTCTCAACTGTACAACGCGACGTAGCCTACACATGATCACACGTTAAGGAATAGGTACGGGACACCGCAATTCACAAAAGTTCATTATTTGCATAAGCCTTGCCGGTTAAACATTTAATTCACGCGCTGATGCGCTGTTATAACGTGCGCTTTCCTGACCGCATAACCCCCGACGCTCACAGGAACTAGATCTGTCAAACAGCGCCTGAATACTGGACTAATAAGTTCTCTCGAGTCTTATTAAGCTAATACTGTTAAATACACACAATGTTTACATAAACAGGCTATGTCTAAAGTGAAAGCAAACATTTGAGAGAATATCTGGTGTAATATGCGTCTATATTAAACGCGTTGCGTGCTGGTCTAAAAGCAACAGGAATAAATAGTAGCCTACTGCCGCTTGTCCTTAAAGGGATAGTTCACAAAAAAAAAAAAAAAAATCCGTCATTATTTACTCACTGTAATGTTGTTCCAAACCTGTATTCATTTCTTTCTTGTGCTGAACACAAAAGACAATTTTTTTTAATGTGGGTAACCAAACAGTTGCTGGTCCCCATTAACTTCCAGGAGAGAACCTATAAAAAAAACTATAAGGGGACCAGCAACTGTTCGGTTACCCACATTATTCAAAATAACTTTTATTTTCAACAAAAGAAAGAAACTTATTCGGGTTTAAAACATCTTAAGAGAGTAAATTAAGACAATTTTCATTTTTGAGGGAACTATCCCTTTAGTGTTAATAAAAAAAAAAAAAAAAAAAAAAAAAGGAGAAAATCACTCACTGACTGAGAACTTTAATATATCTTTAATAAGAATCAATTTATTCAGTGAAGTCTATGTAGTGTTTTAATTTCATATTTGTTCATTTAATTACTTCAATGCAACTGCTAAATACACCTACTGCATCTGAAAAAATAAAGCACTATTTATTTAATATGAATATTAATTTGTGTAATGTTTATCTTGTCTTATTTTTTTAATAACAAAGAAAATAATGAAAAAGATTTTTATCTTTGCCACTGGCCTAAATGTGTGGCTTTCTTTTTTCTTTTGTTACCTAAGGCTTTGTTTTTAACATAGGGACATTAGTTTGGCTGTAATGAGCAGCCACTTGCAAAATATTAAAACCAACTTGAAAAAGAATCGTGATAAAAAATCGTGATCGTGATTTTCCTAAAAAAATCGTGATATGATATTTTTTCCATATCGCCCACCCCTAGGACCTATAATCAATTATTTTCCGGTGTGCAAAATATTAGGTTGATAACTGGATTTTGAGTGATTTTAGGTTACAAGTTAAGTCTGCCTATATATTCTAAACGTAGACCATTTTTGTTAATGTGTAACGGAAATTGATCTCTGATGACGCTTCTTTTCTCGATGTCCAGCAATACTCAAATTAAAAACATTTGATACGAAAGGCATTTTGTGATGTTGATATATGATCCTGAATAACGAATAAATCAGCATTATAGTATCTAATTTATTTAATTTTATTTGGCATTTATTACTAGTTTTTCACGACGGGTGAAAATTTTGTAAACTCTTGGGTCATTAAGTTAATTGTCCATTAATTAGAAGCGCGTGACATCATGTTGACCTTGCCCGTGAACCTTTAAAAGGGTCGCTTTCCTCTCACTGGCGGTATTGATTGCTAAGTATTTCTAAAACGGATCCAATTAATCTGACATCACTCTGCATAAAAATGAGTGGTGCAGAACAAACATCAGCTGCCGTCCACGCCCCTCTGACCAGAACTAGCCAACAGTAAATGAGAGAAAATAGGGGAAATTCTTCAAATAACAAAAACGGTCAATATTACAATTCAGTATTTTGCCAAATTACAGTTCACCATTATCATACATTTATTTGATTATGTATTTATTTGCCACAGTCTGTAATTTAAATTCAGCAAAAATGCAAGAAGGCTGATCTTGCAAATCAAAAGGAATATGCACTAATGTTCTTTCATTTACATAAACGGCTTCTAAACTGTTGTAAGGTATTTGGAAACAAAGTCTGCTAAGAAAACCGAATTAACAGAAGTCTTCAATTGTAGCAAATAAATAAAATATGAAAGTGAGAAACTCATGCAACTTCTCTCGATGTCAAACAAACAGAGGGAGAGAGACAGAGAGAAGGAATGGGTTTGCTGTCGATAGTCCTGTTTTGGTTTTCCCACTTTGTCCTTATTTTTTTCACAGTAGCCTACATATTTTATTGTGATACTCTGACCCCGTCGGCCAGAGATGGCTGGCGCACTGGTGTGAAGATCAGTCAAGACCCCGTGGGCTGTAATTATTGAAAATTAATTGAGGCCAGAGCCCTTTTGGAAACGCGGCTAAATTATTAGCTTGTCGTCGGGTTTAAATCCAGGACCCCATCAAAAAGAGAGGATACAGTTTACCTTCGTTGATTAATACTCCAACCTAATTAAAGGTTTGCCCTCTTCTGTCGTTTGATGTACGGCACACAGAGGTCGTTGGCGAGAGTCGGTGATGTTAAAAAGGGAAGGGAAGGGTTAAAATAAAAACATAATTTGTAAAGTCGGGTGCTCTCGCGCCAGACTGAAAGTGAAATGGGAGCCGCGGGCACAAGGAAATTACCGCGCGCCCGCGTGACCTTTGCGCGAGGTAATCAATCAAGTGATCAACAGGGATATTTATCAATGCTACATCCTGTCGGCTGCCCCTCAAACTCCAAATCAAAACAGTCGAGATGTTGGAGCGTGTGAAATAGGGAATTATTTTATAGCCTATAATGTTTGTGATTATAATAGTGGTCATCAAAGTAGCCTATACTGGCTTCTAAAAATGATTTTATACTTTAAAACTAACCAAACACCAAAGAAAAAAAAAATAAAAATAAGACTAATTAAAACTTGCAATTTTAATATATTTTAATATATAACTCAAAGAGGTGCAAGAAAAAAAAGGAAAAGAAAAAAAAATGATGCAGAGAAAAAAAAATGCTGAGCACTGTCAGAAGGGTACGAATTATATTAATCCAGTTTTTACGAGAGTAAAAACCCGTTCACCCCAGTCATTTCATTAATATAATTATATTGGCATTACTTATCGGGATTATTTAACTCGGCGAAGTCATAATGCTTGGTTTGGCATAAAATATTACGGGGGGAAATAGCATCCAGGCAGCAGGAGGAAGAAAAGCCAGCAGCCCCAGCGCGCACTGCCCCTCCGAGGAGGCGCGCGTAACGGGAGCCCGAGCGAGCGCGAGCGCATTCTTCACATCCGTGTGTAGACTCCCTCTCCGCTCCAAACAAGCGGAAACATTCCCAAACCACAGGCTTCACGGCACTGGGAGAGGGGGTAGACCAGGCTCCAGCAAACATTTCGATGCTTATTATTTATTTATTTTTCTACTTTAATGCTATGCACACTTTGCATTGGTTGTGCAGTCTCGCCCACATCAAGCCCATCTATAAATAGGCCACTTTTTTAATTAATATAGCCTACGTTTAATTTGTAGTTTGAAACACTTCAGTTACCACAGACGTTAGTTAGTAGCCTAAGTGTAGTCGCCCAACCCACTGCGCAAAGCGGTAACCATGCACTGTAAATAATAATAATAATAATAATAATAATAATATGATCAATAAATTACGACAACATGTGTTTTTGCGTTGCTTTAAATCATTAAAATATGATGAAAATACTTTTAGAAGTCCTACAAGACTCAACTCATTTTAACGCCAGTTGAATCTAATTTGTTTAAGTTGAAATGGCTTAAACATCCAAGTTGATTGTAGCCAACTTAAAATTTAAGGCAGAAAAAAATGTTTTGCATGCAGCTACAATAACACTTAGTTATAATCGTCATCGGACGGTCAATGACATTATCATTAAAAAAACACAGCATGTCATAATTTATTCTTACAAATCCTATCAGAACATTTGCATGTAGTTCCAGTAATAGAGGCGCCCAAAGACAACTTGCTGTGCGCGAGACGAACCACAACAGATTGCGATGAAGATTTCCTATTGAAACTCCTTTACAAATGTGGATCCCCTGCAAGTTACTGAATAATTCGCATACTGTAGAAAATATAGGGCTTTCCACATCTGCGGTGTGGCTTCAAGTCCAACAGCAACAATGTGTGATTACTGTGAAATCAATGGCGATTGAAAAAGGCTTTAATAAAACAACGTTAATAACGTCACGTCAAGCATAAATGGTTTTAAAAGTATACCGCGTGAACAAGAAAAATTATGACAATGGCAAATAACAGGGGAAAGCTGATCCGATTGAATGGCATTAACTAACTTCCAAGATTGCCAAACGATGTCCTTGAGTAGCAACTTTTCATCCCATCCCTATTCAACAGCAACTGCAATATTATGATTTAGCATATTTTTATTTTTATTTTGAAGGTAATAAAAACCGTTGATAGTCAAGACAATTGTTATTACAAAGCAGGAAAAGTAGCAGATTTTCTAGAAACAGGCTGGATATGGTATGCTCACGGACGCGAGTAAAACGAGGCCCAAGCCACAGACGCTGATCGTTGGGCAACAGTGAAAAAACTCTCATTAAACTCCTCTGTGGGGAAAGACATTGTGCTGATCTAGCATGTCTGTTCGTCAGTCATAAAAATCCATCGCTATACCATAATAAATCTGATTCATTCATATGTTGTGTATCGGTTCTTTTGAGTAAAAGGGTATTTAGTAATTGAAGTGCTTGTTGCACAAGCCAAGT